CTCAAGAAAGGCATTAAAGCCACTAAGAAACAAAGGATTACTGTGTTTGAAAGAATTAGAAAACAAACAATAAGTAATAAGCAGATAGTAGATAACGGTTGACATTGCATTAAATTTTTGAAAACCACAGTCAAGTGGAAAGAATTAAGCCGGAAGAAAGTTGCACGCGCGGGAAGTGCGAGTAAAGGAGCTATTAACATAGAGCCTACGGTTGAATCTAACAAATTTAAATTTAAATTTATTAAAATCTTGTACTGCGCTCAAATTCATAAGGTATAGGTACCATAGCAAAGAGTTCATCTAAAAGTATTTATAGAAAACATACAGGGAAGCTACCTTAAGACGATGAGAAAGTGACTGAAGCCGAGGTATCAGGCCAGGATCAGTAATATTGCTGGTTCTTCTATGGATTTTATCAAAGAATAATCAGGAGCACCGGACCATCTGTGGCAGTAATATTCTAAACATGGATGAATGGTAGATTATAGCTACGAAAGATAGTTCCTGAAAATAGGACGACATAGTTGACTAACCTTCTTAGCAGCTGACCTATCAGTTTATTCAATATAGTCTTTACAAAGTCATGTCATCCGAGAATGTTCTCCGAGAAGGAACATCGTGTCCCACGATGGTTGTTAGCATCAGCTATGCTGTTAGAATTCAGAAAGAAGTCTCTCAGATGAACGTCTATAAAACACATTTATAATTTTGTAAATTTGTATTTGTTTTGCTCTTTCACATCATTATGAGCATAAATATTGCATTCCTTGTTCCAGTGTCTTTAAAGAAACCGAACGGTTCTTCTTATATCTCTTCTCTAATTTTTCTAAGCTCTCTCTTCATCAGAATTTCACTCATGTTTTCTCATCTTGTTCATTACGCTGATTGTCCTTCGGAGATGGCATTCGTTTGAACCTGGCTCCTTGGACGGCATTATGAAAATTCTTCTACTTAGATCTTCCGATATTTCACCACTTTCATATAAGTAATTTAAAATGTCACTAAGTCTGTCAGTACTTTTTCTAAAATGGAAAAATGACACAAATTGATTAATCTGCAAGTAAACTAAAAAAAAAAAATATGGAAACTGACTATTCAAGGTTAAGGATGAAATGCTTTGACTCTTCGAAGACCCATTTCTTGTAAGAAGTCCTGAAACCAATATCACCGATGAAGATTTGAGTCTTTGATAACAAGAAAATGGAACATTGGATAGGCTATAATTATGGTTTGGGGTAAAAGACAAACTTACATTTTACTCATAATGTTTTCTCTTTGTTTATTTTCCCACTTGTAATCTGATCATTTGCTCTTGACTTCTCTTTTTATTATATGTGTCTTCATGTCCGTCCTTGCTTTCTTTATCACGAATGTTTCCCATGATGCAACACTTTTATTTTCAACTCGTCTCATTGTCTTAATTGTTTAGATACTTTAAATGTAGCCGCTAAAGTGAGACATAGTTAAATATAAACATATTGTTAAAATAGCGATTCAATCAACTCTGTTTGTAAAGTATTCTCAAAGATAAAAAAAATAACAGTTTTAAAAATAACTACAAATCTTAAGAAAAGTTTATTTCATCTGTCTGTCCAAAGAACATAGACAACACATTCTTAGTGTTACTGCTTTTCGTATCTTTTTCATTGTGCAAAGGCGGCTGCATTCCATTTGAAAATAGACTTCACTAAAAACAAAGCAATAATAAGCATTAAACGTATTGGCTTTTTAAAGTCTACACCTCTTAGTATTTCTGTTGATAAAAATCTCAGTTGTGAATGTGAATTTATTGTTCTGAATATGAACAATTCTGGCACAAGGCCGAAGGGGAAGTGGGTTAAGCAGGTCAAAATAAACTATCCTAGATCTACCTATTGAGATTCACAACCCATTCACCCTTACAATTTGATCATTCACAATAAGAACTCATCCATCACCATTCAATCTTACATGTACCCCAATACCACATCTACACAAGGGACTTACAAAATTCTCCATTATATAAAATGGTCTTTATGTACAAACGTCCTTTTTTTCTGATTTTTTCCCATTTTTTACAAAAAAATATAAACAGATATGAGATGAGTGTAGAAGTGATTAATCCGAAAAACGAAATTAAATATAACAAAACATCAAACTAAAATATGTAAGTAGTACCCGTCTACCCAACAAAAATAAGAGCGGCCGCCGGATTCAGTTAATGAACAAAATTAAGACGCTCGCTCACTAACGGAGAGATGAAGGATAAAAAAAATAAATGGTTGAGTTGGAAAATCAAAGACTGACCCAGTCGAGATAAAAACTAAGGAGACAAAAACAAACTGGAGAGATTATGAATATCAACGAGAAATCTCTGTTAGAAATGTATATTTATTGCTATAATATGTAACAAATCTGGCACAAGGCCCAAGAGAAAGTGGGTTAAGGCTGGTTAACATTAATTAAACCTAACTAATTAGATTGAAGACCCATTCATCCCTTACAATTTCGTCATTTACCACAAGAACTCATCCATCACCATTCAGTCCTACATATACGATAATACCACATTTTCATAAATAACTATAAAATCTCTATGACATAAAACTCTAAAAAAGTACAAATATCAATGTTTTCTTTCTGTTCTTTTTTCGTATATAAGATAGAGATGAACCAAAAAACAAAACTAAAATATAACAAATATATTTATTGCTTCAGTTGAAACAATTGTGGCACAAGGCCAAAGAAGTCAGTAAGGCTGATCGACACTTTCTACCCTAGACATAACTAATCAGATTCACGACCCATGAATTCATTACATTTTGCTCATTCCCCACAAGAAGTCATCCATCACCATTTAATGCTACATATACCACAATACCGCAACTTCGCAGAAAACCTACAAAGAACACATGAAATAAAAAGTTAATTATGTACAAACAGTTCAACTGTCTCTTTTCTTCATCTTTTCTTATCAAAAATATATGCTCATTAAATAAGAGAGGAGGGGAGGAACCCATAAAATTAAATTAAAGTATAACAAAACGTTGAAACTAAACATAACAGATGTGAGCAGGACCCAACCACCCCACAAAAATAATAAGAGTGGCGGAGCAGAAAAACAAAAAACAATGGCTGACCCGGTCGAGATGAAAAAAGGGACAGAAAAAATGGTGGTGGTGGGGGGTCTGGGAATATTGACGTGAAATCTATGAAACGCATGCTGGGAACTTTCTCTAACCAATAAAAAAGGCTGGTCCTCAGTTTCATCGTACTCAGTACCGATCTGTCTTGTCTTCAAGTCAGAACGCTACATTCGCTTGTTCTACTTCCTTTTATGTGTCAACTCCAATTCTTAGTAAAATTTTTGCCATATTAATGTCGATTTGCCTTATTATGGTTAATTTGTCTTGAATATATTGCTTGATTGCTTTATATTATTTTTGTCCTGTGCTTTTCATTTGCTTGTTATGTCCATTATGTTTGTTGAATATGTCTGTTATTTAGTTTTCATTTAACCGTCGCCATTCACTTCACTGCATCTGATATGAATTTAGAGATTCATGATATAACTCACAGAAAAATCTGCAAAGTTACTGATCCTGACCTCGCATCTCAGCTTCATCCACTTTTCCCTCGCTGTAACGTAGGTTCTCTGTACATTTTCCATAAATATTTTCATTATAATTGTTGCATGTACTTTCCTCTTTGGCACCAT